GATGGACGGATGGCTGGAGTGTGCTAAAGAGAGAGAGAAGGAGCGGCCTCCTGGTGAGGGGGTGGTGGGTGAAGCAGCGCTGCTGGCCCCGGGGCTGTGTGTGGGCAGGGTGGGAGAGGCAGGGGTGGTGGCCGTTGCTGTGGTGGGCGGCCAGGCAGGGCGAGGGGCTCTGGCTGAGGGAGCGGCAGAGGGGCTGGTGCTGGTGAGGGAGGCGGCGAGGCAGGAGGTGGTGGTGGCTGGGAATGGCGGGATGGGTGACGGTGCAGTGGCACAGGAGGGCGTGACAGGAGCAGTGTTGGGGGGACAGAGTAAGACGGGTTTGGCAGAGAGGGTGTCAGCTGAGGGAAAGGGGGCAGCCGGGGGGCCTGGGAGGGACAGAGAAAGGGTGGCTGATGGAGCTGTGGCCTGTGGGCGAGGGGTGAACCGGGAGGCAGTGCTGGGGTGCGAGGGAAGGGGGCTAGCGCCAGCAGGGGCTGAGGGCCAGGGCGAGGCAGAGTGGGAGTGGGGCGCAGCACATCTCATGTCCCCACGGCACGGAGAACTGTGTCGAGCAGTGTCCCTTGGGGAGCAGCCGATTGCAGAAACCTCCCTGAGCACCCCTGCACATGGGGATGAGGGAGAGGAGCCAAGAAGGAGAGGGTCTGCAGGAGGCGAGAGGCTCTGCCTGGGCACCCAACCACAGCTGGCAGCTCCTGCTAGAGGGGCCGTGGGGGGAAAGGATGGGTCACAGGAGGAGACAGAGCAGGCGGGAGTGAAAGCTGAGCAGGAACAGCAAGGCCTCCATGAAACCACAAGAGAGAGAGAGGTAGAGGTCGTCTTGGAGAGTGCATGGAGCGCTTCTGGGGTGAAGGAGGAGATGAAGGACAGTCCTGTTGGAGGGAGCCCAGACGTCCCAGGAGCCACTGATGGGGGTGAGAGGAGCTGTGGTCCCTGTGAGGTGAGTCCTGCGTGGGTTGACCGCTGCCCCCTGCAACCGTTTGAGTCCCCAGACTGGTCCCTGCCAGGAGCAGAGGATGCAGCACTTTGTTCCATTTCTTATACTTCCCTTACAGATCTGCTGCTGGTAGCTGATGATAAATCCTTTTCGGTGGCAGCTTCTGTATTCTTTCCTGTTCCTGAAATCTCATTGCAAATATCTTGGCTGTGGTGCGAGGGCTCGCAGCCTCTCAGTCGTCTCGCCCCTCCGGCCGCACGGAGCAGCTCCCACCACCCAACGGGCGGCTCCTCTGCCTGGCACTGGTGGCAGTGGGGCAGCCTCACAGCACCTGCTGGCTCTGACGCTCCCGCTCCGCGGCAGCGCTCAGCTTCTCAGATTACTCTGGCGTCTGCTTCTAGGAAATCTGCTACAGCAGTATCTCAGTAACTCAAAGTTTAGCATGTTTTCTGTAAAGCTAATGTTTTTCTCATTGTTTTGTAGGATGTTGTAAACCCGGATGGCATTGTCATGCCCTCAGTACAGACCCAGGATGGGGAAGAAACTTTCTTCTAAGCTTTTTCTGCAGTTCCTTTAGTTCTGTGTCCTGCAACATTTACACGAATTGGTGTGCTGCTTGGGATGTTCACTCCTCCTTTATTTTCCTCCACGAGTACCACAACTATCTGTCACGTTTTACTGGAGCAGTTTCTCACGGTGCAGCAGACAACTGTAATAAGCCTGCATATGCCAACCCAGGAAACAACACTCCTGTGTAATTATGAAGACAATAATCACAAGGATTGTTCCACAGCTGTCATGCTTGTTTTTCCCAAAACACAGAGAAATATTGGACTGGCTGAACCTCCCCCCC